GTTTGGTTTTGCCAATATAGGAGGCCTTACAGTCTCCACACGTGTACAGATAGACAAGCCAAAAACAATATGGAATGGGGAGATCTTTAGTAGGGAAAAAAATGTTATGCGTGATGTGGATTTAAAAACTAATCTTAAATCCACTTGAGGGTAGTAACGACCAAAAATGCGTTTAAGTTGATTTTTTAAACTTAAGCTTTGTTTGCCAGTATAAGGAAGACACAAGTATATAGTAAGTTAAGGTACAGTTGGTATCTTAATTGTATTTGTGAATTTCTTTGTTAGGAAGGTGTTGGTAATGTTTTCTAATAAGTGTTGTGGATAACAGTTGCATTTCAGGGTGTCATGTAAGAAAGAAATTTCAGAGTGTAGATTAAGATATGTGGAGCAGAGGTTGTAAGCTCTGTTTAGTAAGCATGTAACAAGGTTTCGTTTATACGTAAACGGGATAAAGCTATCTTAATCTACATTCTAAAATGTCTATTCTGCTTCAGAAAATATCGCACTAGCATGTATTATCCTGGTTGAAAGGAATAGCGACTGTCATATCCTTCGCTGGCCCAATCGACACTGTCTGTATGTTACAGTCGACAAATGCTGTAAGGGTGACGTCTGTTCTCTTATTTCATTTGTGAAAAATGAAAATGAGGTTACGAGCTCTGTCCACATTTTGTTTTTAATATTAAACAAATTCTAATAAGCTTTTAGTAGTAAATATTGTAACATAATTTATTTTGAATATCCGTGTTTGTAGCTGGAAAGTTCATAGTTTCAAAATTTGGAGATCAATATGTGTAATTCGTTAAAAGACTATCTTAAGAGAAAGAAAACTGTGGACCCAATCACGATCAGGTAGAAGGAACTGTCTTTTCGTGTGGACTGATTACTTTTTGTATTTTCATAATAAAGATCGTGTTAATTTTGTTAAACTTGTCCAGTCTAATTATTTCACGTACACTAGAAAAACTCAGACAGATTATCAGATTCAGGTTACTATCCTTATTTCATGAACGAATCTGCTGGTATTAGTAGATCTAACTATCTGATACTTATCAGAAAATCGGTTTCCACCTGAAAAACACCACAGAGTAAATCTAAAATGGTTATCACCACACTTCATTGGTTGAGTTTTATCTTAAACAATCTTAAATAAATTAAAATGCATTCCTGAAATATTGTATACAAGTTTTAAAGACATCATCTGTGCAGAAAGTTCGCGATATTCTATAAAAGTTTTAAAGCCATCATCTGTCCAAATCGGTATTTAGGTTGCACCCTGGGAAGATCATGTGCAATTTAGACCTCTTCCTCCCTCCTTTACTCTTTTTTAAACTGACAAATGCTGGGAAAAATTCACGAAACAAGGCTAAAAACGGTTGATTTTAAACACTTATTTCTACTTTCCTTATCAGGGCCTTGTCCATGAAAGTAATACGGTAACACTTATTGCTTCATTACCATTTTGTTTCATCTGGTCTTGTATAACACTTCTCGAACAGTTCACATTTTTCACAAGATTAATTCATTAAATACCCTATAAATACACATTCAATACGTTAATCAAGGTAATGCAGTAAGTTCTGGTAATGAATTCGTAACAATTTTAATTAAGTTGGGATTATTAGTGTAAAGTGTTTCTTTGTTATTACGAATAGTAAGGTGATGTCGTCTATTTGTTTTTGAGAATTCTGGTATTCTTGGATGAATTCTGTAAAGGGGTTTTTGGCTGCTTCTAAGACGAGGTTAATAAGAAGAGGCTGATTGCTGGTTGTTAGATTTACGTTTATATTTGAGTGTTGTTCTGTAGTTGTTTTCTTATTTTTCTCTGTTTGCTTGTTCTGTTTTATTTGGTGAGTGCACAGCTTCTGCATAGATATATGTTTGTGTTTGTGGATCTGATTGGTTGAAGTTGTTGGTTTTGATATTGGTGTGGGCGGTAGTGGTGTTTTCGTTGCTGTCTTTTGGGCTTCGTTTATTTCATTAATTTGTGTGTTTGATTGTGTGGCTTTGATATTGTAATGTTTTAAAGCCATAATCAGTAGCAAGAAGATTGTTGAGTTTCCTACAAAATTAAACGAATTTGCTTAATTAACATGCGTTAGGAAAACCCCGTTTGTGAAAAATGAGAGTGATGTTACGAGGTCTGGCGACAAAATTTTGTAATGTTGAGCGAATTATACCGGCTGTGAGTAGCAAAAATTGCAACATAATATATATTTGGAATATTCGTGTTTGGAAATGGAAAGTTCATAATTTCAAAATTAAAAGGTTCTGTTTTATTGAAAACTTTGATCTTAAAAGTTTGCATGTTCTTGTTCTATGGTTTTTAAGAATTAAGTAAATTTTAAACATTTCCATTGACAGTGATGCTTTCATGAAATACAGATTGATAAAAGCAAATTAAAAGTCGAATGTCTGGCTATTACAATAACTGAGGAAGCTGATAAAGGGATAAAATATTGAAAGTTCAAGTCGATCAATGCAAGATATCAAGATATGGATTAAGTTTCATGACGTTTTTATATTCATTGACCGATAAAAGGAAGAGACTTACTTCATTATAGTATGGGCAGTTTGTAGACTCCTTTACACTAGTGTATTTCTTCTGATCGCCTACTTGAACACAAACAACGGGGTCCATATTAAGTCCCGCCAAGTGGCGTGCTTCAATAATGGTAATACACACCTGAAAAAACGCGAGCTACCTTAGACGGACTTTGTTTTCGGTATTTATAATACTTGACCCAAAAAGTTCTATACAAGACAAAATTTTCCAGTTTTAGAAACTAGCATTTTATCCATTCAACACGACAAAATAAACGAAATATAGTAAGTACAAATAATCTTCTTGCTGAAGTATTTCAATATTAAACACATATGCTCATCAATTTTCTAAGATGCATAAGGTTAGTTGATCTGAAGGTTAAAAACCTCTTTGTCTTCACAGCGATATAAAACAAGTATATCTTTCACATAATTGACTCAAACGTGAACATGTGCTAGGTTTAAAAAATAATATTATATATATATATAAGTTCTTCTTTTGCCAATTGTCGAAATAAATGGATTTTACTTATATTTCTTAATAGTATAAATATATACCATGTTGTTGGGCTTAGGATTCTTCTACAGTAGGTGTCTGTGACTTGTTAGCGATAAATTCAACGATGAATAAACAGCACACACTTTACTTGTTTTCAAATAATATATATACATTTGTAACAAGTTAAACGTGTGTACAACAAAGTCTTCAGACAGTAGATATTATAAGCATATCATAAACG